GAGATGCATAATCACAGGATAACCATGTCTGATCGTCACGGCCGCGCATCAAGCCCACGTTGTACGGCATGGCATGCCGCCTCCATGTCTGCTTGCCCGTTTCAACTTTCAAGGTTAATTGAACCCAGCGTCTGAGCAGCGTTGCTTGCTTTTTTTCCGTAAGGTGTTTGCTCTGTCGCTGCACTCTGTGATAATCTACTATGTACGTCCCACGTTGTGGGCTCGCTGGGTCGCGATCTTGGATGAATCTCGTCCGGGTTTCAGGACGGAAAACGGCAGGTCAACGGCCCCCATTCCCACCCCTTTCTCTTGCTCTACTCTCTCTCTTCCCCTCACGAAGCCCGCGCCCCTCCTCCTCGCGTCTGCCCAAAATGACGGGTCAGGTGGGCGTAGAGGCGGTGGGAGAGCTGAGACGAAAAGGACTGATGGCCGACCGAGCGTGCCTTCTTATCCGGGGGCCATCAGCTGGAGCGTGGGTTGAGGGGGGTGTTCGGCCGTGACTGGTCACAACGAGTGCCGAATCTCCGTGGGCGGTGGAGAGCTGGCGTCTGGAGGGCGGCCAGCACGGCGAATCGGCGCCGAGGAGATCCGCTGCTCTGTTCCCATGCAGCCTGTGAGGCTTTTCAAGGGTTGCTGTGCCGCCGCCATTGCCTGCTTTCGAGCATCTGCCTCTGATGAGGAGGGTCGGGGCAACAGGTACGTAGAGCAAGTGTCGCGCGACAGCTGCGCATCGCGGCTCCCCTAGCCCCTGGGACTTCTCCATGTCTTCGTGCAGTAGGCCGGGCCGGTAGCTCCCAGCCAAGGCATTCAGCGGCGCTGCGACTGGTCGGTTGACACAGCACACCCTGATGTCAGGGCTGCAGGCAGGGGCTCGGGACGTGGGCAGGCATCAACGTCAAGGGAACGAACGAGTTTGTCTCAGGGCCAGGGGGGAGGGGGGAGGGAAGCAGAAAAAGATCCGATTTCATTTGTCCCATCTGGGTGTTTTGTCAAGACGCATGCCTGTGCTACGTGGTAGCGGCAGTGGGCAGATGCAGTCTCTCATCGAGGTTCCCAGATCGCCGCTGGGAAAAGGCCCAGTACGTAATCTCGAGTGCTGAGAATGCGTCGCCGGTCGATGGCCATCTCTAATTTGTGTGTCGATCAGTGCTGCTAGTGACATGTAGGGCCTGCGTATTGGATGTTGAGTGGGAGGGCTTCGGAGCCGGAGGGGCGTTTGGTGTAGAGGGTGCCAGCCCGACCTTTCAACGTGTACTTGGCTTCGGGTTTCACAGCGTACTGTACGGATACTGTAGTAGCATTTCAAGACCGGCATGGGTATCCTTCAAGCCCCTCTCCGGTGCAGATGCAGAGGACCCCAAGCCAGAGTCTCACGGGGTGGGAGGACGAGCGAAGGCATGGAGAGCATAGGGGATGCTGGAAGGGAGGTATCAGGAATAGTATCTCATCAGACGGTGCTGGACGTACTGTGTAGTAGTGCATCCGTGCATTGCAGCACAAAACAGCAGCAGGCAAGCCTCGTGGGAGTGGCAGACGGTGGCTGACTGACCAATATTGCCTGCCCTCTTCCTGTTGCGGTGCTCATGCATGCTCGCGAAACCTTCCTGGTGACCGGTGCTCGTACTTCGGGGACGCCTCCTCCCCTTTTCCTGCCTCACCTCTCCTCTTCTGTCTGCTCGATCCGACAAGTCAATCGCCAGCTCGCGTCTGCTGCTACCTGGCTGCCAATCCCAAATTCCGGGGGAGCAATTACGGGCTCGTCTCTAGCGCTGGGTGAGGTCATTAGCTTGGTCTGCTGCCCGTTGTTGTGCCCTGTTCTGTCTTAGCTGCCTCCCTCCGTCCCAAGGTACAGGCTACGGTCGCTATATTACACGCTACAAGCGACCAGCTCCAGTGCAGGCCAGGTACTGTCTACCGCCTACAGGTACCGCCCGCGTCTGAGGTGTAGGTGCATGGAGCACACGCCGTGACTCCAGTATTTCCCCCCACCATTTCTTAGTTGCAGCTATTACCAATTTGCCAATGTGCTTCATTCATCTCGCCTCGCGAATACATAGGTGTTGCCTATCAATTATCTGGTCTGCATTTTTCGCCCGGTTAAGGTTGTGCAGACTTTTTCTTCTCTCTTTTTTTCTTCCTTTTACCTTCCGGACTGCATTATACTTTCTCTCCGAACCCAAAGGACCCATTTACTGCACGAGAAAGCCTTGTAGGACGGGCGTAATAAGGTATGACTTCCCCCTCCAATCGTCGCGACCTCTTTATTAGCGCAAACTTCATTTCGCCAGCTGCACATTGGGCCCTGCATTCTTAATTCCCACTCACCCCAATTATTTTCTATTTACTATCGCCCCGTCTCCTTGGATCACCTAAACCTTTTTCTTCTCCCATTCATCTTACCCTTTGTCCTCGCTCGGCTGCTTGTCTCTGTGCGCAGGCATTGTTTGCTTACACCCGAGAGTCAACAACTCACCTTCCCTCGCTTTGCCTCGCTTTTTTGCCTTGGGGTGCTGCTACAAAGTCACTCACACATTACACCATCAGCAGGTCAAGGCGACACCAGACAGAAGAGAGAACGGAGGAAAGGTCGCATTTGCTGTCACCAACCAGCCGACGGCGGTGTCTCAGCATCTGGCACGGAATCGACATACCTCTTGCTCGAAGCAGCCGGCCGTATTCCCACCCGTCTCAGACCGTCTCCAGCGATTGTGAGACGAGGCTGTGGCTCAGCGAATCGGTTCAGATTTTCTGTTTAAACGTGAATTAAGCCCCGACTCACATCCGACACCCCTTGTGGATTCTCGTTCTTATTCTTATCCTTATTTCAGTCCAGGTGATTCGCCGGGACGGTATCGATGTTTAATCACCATTTCGAACACCCTTCCCTGTCAATCATTCGCCAGCTCGAAGAAAGGCATTCCTAGTCACTGCCCCCCGTCGGCCTGTTATAACACAGCTCGACCCCCCCGCGTCCGACACCACGGCAGACCCTCGCATCAATTCAGATCTGCCTTGGCCCGACGAGTCCATTCAACATTTGCGTGTGTGTGTTGGTCATTTTTGCGGAGCGGCAGGCAATCAGCGCCGACATCGAAGAAGGGCACCTCTCAACGAGCGATACACCACGACTACCACTGCTACGAAGCGGCCACGGCAGTGACACCGACGACACGGTACAGAGCAGCAAGCCGAAGGAAGCCTCGCACCCCGACAATCGACGACGACATCGACAGCAACGCCCCTCTCCGGTTCTAGTGGCCGACGTCCTGCATTCCAGCTCTTTTTTTATTTAAACCTCCTTGGCAATTCTCGCCTTTCCCCAGCACGCACCGTCATCTCCCCGGCCGTCGCCTCCCCAAAAAGGGAAGCGGAAAAAAGAACCAGTGACCAGCAGCCAGGATCCGCTAGACCGAAGTAGGATTGGATCGGATTTCGAAATGGCGCTTCAGGGCGGAGAATCAGGGATAATGGCTGCCAAACCGCAGCCAATCCCCGGGACGCACGGTACGTTGATCTTTCTACTTGTGGTCTTCCCTTCCCCATGATCTTCACTTGATTGTTTGGTTTTTTCATTGCTTTTCATGTGCATTTTTTTTTTCTCTGGGTCGCTCTGCGTCACCCCCAATACCTTTCCCCCAAGGATGCACTGCAGCCACTCTCTTGGGGCGAGCGACTAGCTCGCCTGGCTGACAGGTTAATCCTGTTGGCTCCGATGGAAGTGGAAAGCACCCTCGGTGGTACCTGCCCCAGGCCAACTAGACTTCCCCCAAGCTCTAGCTCCACCTGGGTGCGCTAGCTCGGTTGTGGTACGTACCGACAGTGCTTGACGGCGCCGCTAGCGTGTCGCTACAGGCAGAGTCCTCTACCTGCCCAGCGCCTCTGAGGCTACGCTGCGCTCTGCTTCGGGTTCGCTACCGATGACACTCGAATGCACCGTCTTAAGCCTCTGAAGCCCGCGACAGACCAATCGGCCCCGGCGATCCCCCCACCACCCATCCATCTCATCGTCGGTCGCTGGATGACCACAGCCAATGCCTGCTGCAACACGAGGCCGTGCGGTGGACGGCGCACTGCGAAGGTGCTTCCTTGGAGGTCGTTGCATCGTGGGATGTCTGGTTGGCACGAGATGATGGCCACAGGCGATCCAAAGCCCCAAGTCCATCTTACGGGTTTCCCCACAGCGGCCAAAAACAGCAGCACCAGGCGCCAGCAGGCAGGGCAAGTGCGATGGTGCTGATGTTGCCTTCTGGGTTTGCGTCCTTTCGCCCAGCGTCATCGTCCCTTTCTCCGCTTCGGATCCGTCACCAGCATCCATCCATCCATCCATCCACCACAACATCGTCAATTTACCCAGCCAGTGCGCTGCCCTTGCCTGCGCTCGCTCCCACCCCCATTCACCGTCGGTGGGCCAATATCCATCGCCAACCTGCCAGGTGGTGAGTGACGTGACCCTGCCGACATCTGCGCTTCGCTTGGTCTGGCTTGGCTGTCATTCGACGCCCCGCTGGCTGTCTGCTTGCTCTCAAACTCAATTCTGCCAATTGCCCCTCTCCCACCTCGCGTTCGCTTGGCCCCTGGACCAGCGTGCGGCTTTCGCCTGGGACAGACGCTTCTTGGAAGCCAGATCACAGGGCCGGTGCATTCCCGGGGCCTCTTGACCAATCCTGGCCTCTGCTGGGCTGGTCGCTCGGTCACCACCACCATCTCATCGCCTGCCCTCGGCTCCAGCGCGTGCACCATCCACTGCCCCCAACCACACACCCCTACAGACCCTCCTCTACGTACCGACAGGCTTCTCTGCAGGCGCTCTCCCCCTCCCCTCCGTTCATGCTGCTACCGAAATCCCTGCCCACCTGGTCCTACGATCTGACTCAATTTTTATTCTCTGCCTGTTCTCGATCCCTACCCCACCACCCAGGCATTTCACCCCTGTTCAGCCTCGTTCTTGTTTGGTTCTTGTTCTATTTTCTTTCTCTTGTACCTGTACTCGCCCTGCATGCATGCATGCGCGAGCCGCTACTGATTGTCCGCGCCCTCGCCTCGCCTTTTCGCCCGTCGGTCTTCTGGGCCACATTTTTTCTACACTTGTTTTTTTATTGCTTCGTTTCCCTGCCGTGCCGAGCCGTTTCGTTTTGTTTCCTGTCCCCTCTGACAAATCAATTTTCCAGCCCATCAACCGATATATGCCAATGGCTCCGCGCCCTCGCCTCAATCACCACAGCCGCAGTCTCAGTCGCTCGCCCCGTGCAATTCTAGCAGCTACTCATCGTCGCCTCGTCAGCTGCCCTCCGACCTGCCCGACCCCATCCTCGAGGAAGGCATTGAGTCAGGAAGCGACTATCCTGCCGAGCCTGTGACCCCCACAAGTGCCAGCGCCAGCGGACGTCATTCGCAAGAGTGGGCCAGCTTCCCAACCGGCGCCCACTACAACTACCTACAGCCATCCTCCTCCGAGGAGACCACCCAACAGCTTCCCGCCAACCCTCCTGCTACTCTCCCCAAGACCCCTATCGTCGCCTCTGAATCCTCGACCCCGACCGAATCCCTCCAGCAAGGCGACGGCTGGAGGCCGGCAACCACCAGCACCCTCGACGCCAGCCAGTCTGTTGCCATTGACGAGACAGAGCCCGAGCTCGACTCCGCTCCCCTTACACGACGCTCTACTCGAGGTTCTACCAGCAGCTTCAAGCGCACAATGTCGAGTCTTTTCAGAAGATCGGCGCCTCAGGTGCCGATGCCCGCCACACAGCCCAAGGACGACGGCGTAATATCCCGCATGTCGACCTCAGCCGCCGACTCTACTCGCCCTCGCATTAGCACTGCCACGGCTCGCGAGAACGGTGGCCCCCCGCCCAGCAAGTCGAGTCGCCGTTTCTCCATGCACCGATCAACTGCAACCACTCGATCAAACACACCGCCATCGCCCACCTCGCCTCTCGAGATTTCCAACGGCGGAAACCACATGGGCTCTCAGCCCGCCCATTCAATTGTGTCCGAGTCTATGCCCAGCTCGGGCGATTTCTCCGCCTCGAAGAAGAAGAACCGATCCTCCTCAGGCCTAAGCCTTGGCCTTCGCGGTCGCGCTGTTAACTTCGTCACCGGTCACGGCCCGGGACACCGAAGAGATCGTGCAAGCAGCTTCGACTCGACCAAGCGGACTGACTCCCCCCACGTCGCGCAGCAGCCCCCATGCGAGAATGACAACCAACAGACCTACCCACCCGAGCGACTCCCCTGGCCCCTGCCACCGGATGCTGGTACCGGTGCCAAGGCTCGTCGGATGAGTCTGAGCCTGCCCGATGACTTCACCGTCGATATCGTCGAGCTCACAAAGGAATTCGAATACGAGTCCAAGTTTCTCGGCCGCCACGGAAAGCATCTCGGAAAGGGAGCCGCCTCCAAGGTCACCCTCATGTCTCGCAAGGGCTGCCCCACCGAGCTGTACGCCGTCAAGGAATTCCGAGGCAAGTCGGGCCGTGAGAGCAAGGACGACTACGACAAGAAGATCAAGTCCGAGTACAGCATTGCCAAGAGCTTGCATCATCCCAACATCATTGAGACTTTCCGCCTCTGCACCGACCACTCGCGCTGGAACCACGTCATGGAGTACTGTTCCGAGGGTGATCTGTTCAGTCTCGTTTCCAAGGGATGGCTGAAGCCTGAGGACAAGAAGAAGGACCGTCTTTGCCTCTTTAAGCAGCTCATCCAGGGTGTTAACTACCTCCATAACAACGGTATCGCCCATCGTGATATTAAGTTGGAGAATCTGCTCATTACCAAGGACAGCAAGCTCAAGATCACTGATTTTGGTGTTTCCGAGGTCTTTTGCGGCACTCATCCCGGTGTGCGCGAGTCCGGTGGCCAGTGTGGCCAGAACATGGGCGATGTCCGCCTTTGCTCACCCGGTATCTGCGGTAGTGAGCCCTACATCGCGCCCGAGGTGCTCGCCAAGAAGAGCGAGTACGACCCCCGTGCCCTGGATGTTTGGAGCTCTGCCGTCGTCATGATTTACCTCATCTTCGGTGGTGCCATCTGGCCTCGTGCCCAGCCCGGCATCAACAAGGTGTACGACAATCTCGTAAAAGGCTGGGACAAGTGGTACAAGAACCACCCTGATCCCGATGCCACCATCACCGAGACGGATTATCCCCATTGCACCGCTCTTGACTTCGCTGTCAGCCCTCCTGCCTTGAGACGCCTGCTGCTGCAGATGCTCAACCCCGATCCCAGCCGCCGTATCTCCATCAACCAGGTGATCAATAACCGCTGGATGAAGAACGTCGAGTGTTGCCAGGCGGAGTCGTACGACGACCCCACCCACGTCATCGACGCCAGCAAGCCTGATGCTTCCTGGAACGGGCCCAGGAAGATCTTCTGCCACAGCCATCTGCCTCCCAAGACCAAGGGATCTCACTCCCTCGGAGCCATGCCTGGCCAGCCAGGATATTAAGAAGTCCGCCATCTAAGGGGACATAGAAAGGAAACCCGATTTCCACTATTAGTACACCTACCCGCATTGTAAGCACAATAGCTTACAAACAAATGCACCACTACACCGCATCATGTCACTTTTCAGCGAGAGGAAAGAGAAGCAAGCTACTACTACTTTATTCGTTAAATGATATATACTTGACGCTCGGGATTCGGAAGAAGACCTCCCGGGACACAACTTATGGTTGTAATAGAACACTACAGTACGGCACATTGGCCACAAAAATGACTCAATTTGAATCCGTTTCACCCCTTATGATCTACCAACTTTCATGACCAGCTAAGCATGCGCGCAATAATATTCATTCCTTCGAACCGTGATGCCACCAGCACGACGACCATTGAGCGGTGACGCAACACAGGTGGCGGGGTGGTTGAGCCGGGGTCGGTTAAGGTTGGAGTAGGACAAGACGAAATTGGCTTCCGTCGCAGACTGTTTAATCTCCTTCCTCGTCCTTGGCTCTAGGGAGCTTAATTAATTCATTTGGTGAAAGCGAGGCGTCGGATACGGGGGGGTCAAGTATGGGCTCAAATGAGAGGTGCAAATTGTGATTTTCTTTCTTCTTTCAAGTATCCCTCTCAGGTCTGGCGCTCCCCCGTGGTCTAAATTGACTATTTGACATTTTCCCCTAATCCCCCTGTTTCGTGCAACGTCTGATCTGGAGCGGTCTCCGTTCCCCGTAGTTTTGGCTTGGCCCGCGTGGCTGAGACTTGGCGTGGCTGCTGTGCGTTCGGCATGGGGGAATTAGAGTATTTAGGCTCTGGCTCCGAGACATGCGTTTGGCCCAGCGGCTGCCCTGGTTTTGGTCACACGAAGGTAGGGTAGGCTACGGTAGAGTACGGTGGGCTTGAGATGGTGCGTAGAGAGCCTCTAAGTATTATCTAGATATGTGGTATCCCATGATAAATCCATGCCAGAAAAGAAAAGAGAAGAAGAAGAAAACAAGCCCAAATTAAGGTATGCCGAGTAGAGAAGATAGAAATATCACGTAGATGACGAAAAGGTTCACGCACGCCCATCAAATCCCATCACAACCCTTGACAGAAACATGCCCCCTCACGCCAGCTTCTTCTGCATGAGGTCGGCCAGCTCGTCGAGCAGGTCGACCGTCTCGGCCGGGCTGGCGATCCAGGCGGTGGTGCCGACGCGGCGGGCCTTGAAGTCGTTTGCGCCGGCGCTGAGGAACTGGTCGCCGACGTGGAGGGTGTTCTCGCCGCGGATGGCGGCGCCGGCGGTGCCGAACCACTGCTGGCAGACGGTGACGCCCCACGACTTGTCGCCGATGTCGACGAAGACGTCGCGCCCGCCGTTGAAGGCGCAGAAGGGGACGCCGCGCCTGGGGGGCTGGTTACCCCCTCCGCTTCCCCCTCCGGCGGCTGCTGCGGCTGCCGCGCGGGGGGCGAGGCTGGTGCTGGTGGTGGCGGAGATGCCGAGGGAGTGGGACTCGAGGATGCGCTGGACGACGAGGACGGTCTCCTCGAGGGACTCGCGGGCGATGCGGGTGTCCGGGTCGGTGGGGATGATGCCGACGGCGCGGTCCTTGCGGAGGGTGGTGGCGGGGAGCTTCATGGTGCGGACGCACTCCTTGAGGGCCGACTCGGCGACGTCGAGGAGGGCGGTGATGTCCGGCTCGGACCAGGCGGCCATCTCCGGGGTCAGCCAGCTGGCGCGGGGCACGGGGGCGAGGCGGTAGGGCGAGGAAGGGGAGAACTCGAAGAGGTAGTTGTCTTCGCCGCCCATGATGACGATGTTCTGCTTCTGGATCGGGTCGAGGTCCTTGGAGGTGGCGATGGCGTCGAGCAGGCCGTGGAGGCGCTCGTAGTATCTGTCTGCCGTGGTGTAGCCAGCGGCTGTGACGATGCCGATTTTGATGTTCTTGCGGAGGAGGTCTGGTTACGGTCAGTAGGCACATTCATCCATCCATTGGCAAAGGTTCTGTCATTGAAGGCCCAGAACAGAATAAAGATAAAGGAGGGAAAATACTAACCCAAAAGCCTCGGCACGACAGGACTGTCCGGCTCCAGACTCTTCCCGTCGTCGTACAGGGTGACATCACCATCAAACGTGGCCAGCTGGAGGGCGCCCCCCGTCACGGCCATGAGCTGCGCCGAGTTGAGGACGAGCCGCACGTCGTTGAAGGACGGGGCGACGTACCTCCGCGACGAGATGTGGCGCTTGCGGTCCTGGTACTTGAAGGCGGCCTCGAGGGGCAGGCGGGTGAAGAAGGGCCCCGCCGTGGGCACGAGCATGAGCAGCTTGGAGGGGAAGGCCTCGTCGTGGCCCTGGATGGTCACTGCCCGGGCATTAATGGTTAGCCTGGAAGACTCATTTACTCTCATGGAAGGCTCGAGGTAAAGGGAGCTACGAACTGTGGTCGTCAATCATCCGCTCGACGTCACGCATAATCTCAGCGTAGCGGCGGTGAGACTCCTCGGCCATCCTGTCGACGTTGGTGCCGTCGCCAAAGACTCCTGTGGGCTCCGAGTACAGCACGAAGGGCACGGCGAGGAGGCCCTTGACCCATTCTAGGATGCGCATTCCATGTCAGCATATGTGTTGTGGGAGCAGAAGAATGGACTTGTGATATGCCCGTCCATTGATCATGGGTCACACGAGGGCGGCCTCTCACCTATGAATTGGTCACGCCTGTGCGTCTTGAGAGCATCTAGACGGCAGCAATGTCAGCGATCATGCTAGAGCAGACCCATTGAGCCGTGGAGATCGGGTTGGGGTGGTAGCCTCACACTCGACGCGATATCGGGTCGTCATGTTGGGCGCGTGAGGTCGAGCAAGCAGGAGGGAGGGACGAAGGAGGGGCTAAGCTGAGCTCCCAGATGATGTCACCGGGCGGATGCGGGCAGTCCTCAATTTGGTCCAGGGGGAGCCAGGCTGTCTAAAATATATTGCTTCCCCGGAATGAGGTAAGAGAAGATGGGAATTGATCGCTGGAAAGCAAAGAAATGGGCGTCGTGGCCGCCGAGATGGCAGTTGGGCTGGTGAGGGGGAAAGGCGGTGGTCGTGAGTGGCTTGACCTGTGTGGCAGCGGCGAGCTCCGACACCGCACTAGCAGGAGCTACTTGTCGGTACCCCGCTACCAGGCTATGCTGCGTGGGCGCACAAGTCTCTCCGAAGTACCGATATTATGCATCTGGTGTGGCGCTGAGCTCCGAGATGAGACACTGTCCGTCATATTGCAGATGGCACATGACTCCTTTCTTCTCTGCCCCTTTTCCTGGCCAATCTCCCAGGTGCGGTGGGCAGCGGTGAGGCAGCCGATATCGTGAGCCTCAGTCCCGCCTGTTGAAATGAGGGAAGGGCATATTTTCCCTTCCAACATACCCATGGTAGATGTGGCTCGCTCGCTGTTTGTTTAGAGTTGCCAAATCCCGGCCCCGTCACACAAACGCCCCCAGTCGATCCTCCGGCAGATCAGCTCCTCATGGCATGGCATCCCTGGCCATGATGCATTGCCGTCCGTCTCGTCAAACGGCAGTTTATAAATATCCTCCCAGCCGTACACCCACGGACGTAGGTCCGTCCATGCAGCTGGGCTTACGCATAGCAGCCCGGTCCTGTGCAACAAGGAGATCCTCAACTCACTGCCAAGATGTAACACTCACGCTCACACTCCTCACAGAGACATCACACTCGTTGGAACAATCAACAGTGAATAGTCATTCGCTCATGCCTCCCTCCCCTCTTCCCTCCCCCGAGCCCGTCCGCGCGACAAACAAAACCACCCAGGCTCAAAATTAGTAGGCTAGGTAAAACGTATATAACACGAAAGATTGTCACAATCGCCAAAACTGTGCCCTACCAGACTCAAGTTTCCAGACATGTCCCGGGTGTGTGCGCGCGCAGACGGGCCAATCCCCCCCTCCCAGCCTCGAATATGTGTGCGCTATCTAAGTAATGTCCTCCTCTCACTCTCGCTCTCCCTCTCTTTGTGTGTGTTTGCGTTTTTGTTTTGTCTTGTTTGAATTTTTTTTCCTTCCCTGGTGAGTCCCAATACTTGCAGTTCGTCATTTTCATCAATTTTTTTGGTGGGATGGGAATTTTAGTCTTGTTTTTTGTTTCTTGGCTTGGTCTTTCCTCTCTGACTTGCTTTGCTTTGCTTTGCCGCTTTGCTCCCTCCTCCCGGCTCGGCTCCTCCAACAGCTCTAAAAAAGTGACAATGCTTTGGTCGGAACACGGCTTGGTCCCTTTCAGATGATTTCATGACAGTTTCCACTCGACAGTATCTTGGTATATATGTTCCTCCCCTATCACCCGCTCATCATGGGGACAGCTATCCCTTAGCTGGCGGCCGGGTTCCCCCCCTGCTGCTCAGCGAGGAGCTTGGCCTGCGCCTGCTGTTCCAACTGCAGCTGCTCCATCGCGATCTCGTCCGCTCGCACCATGACGCTCTGAATCACGCTCTGGTTCTCGGCGGAGAGGGAGCTCGTCAGCGAGCTGTAGAATTCTGGCTGCTCTTGTTGCATTCCTATTATCACCTCGTCAGTCTCTGTCCGTCCTCCATGTACACGGGCACATCTCTCCACTTACTCATCATGGTGGCCTTCAGCAGACCGTATGGCTCAACTTTGTCCAAAGGCGAGTCGAGGAAGTTGTCCTCGCCCAGATCCATATCATCCGATGGCATAACGCTGCTAAACTTCTGTGCCTGTTCCCGTGTCACCAGTCAGTATCGCCATGCTTGCGTAATTGTATATGTAGCTTTCATCTGGACCAACCTCGTCGTGTAGCAGCTTCAGGTAAGCGGCACCCTCATCTGTGACATCGGCACTCGTCTCTTGTTCGGCAGGCTCTTCTCCGGCCCAGTTAGAGCCGTCCTCGGGCCACTCCTCATCGTCAGCATAGTCGTATGATTCCAAGTGGAAGTCGTCCTGGAGGGCGTCGTTGCGCTCTATTTCTTGTTAGCATTATGGCTGTGTCTGCGAGGTCATTTCCGTGGGTCAACACTCACTCTTCATAGCACCGGGTAGGGTTCTGAATAGCTCTGTAATGCCCTCCAGCAGCTTGGGCCACCCCACAGAGATGCTAGCCGGCACCTGGTCGTGGTTGAGGTTCAGCAGGGCGGTGATGGCGATGATGGAGAGCTTCTTGTCGTGGACCCGGGTGAAGTAGGACATGTTGCCGAACCACAGGGTGAAGAAGCGGTTGGTCCAGCCCTTGTTCTCCAGAATCTGCAGAGCCAGGAGGGGGTTGTAGTTGATGGCGTTTATCACCATCTCCATGAGGTGGATCCGGATGCTCAGCACCTTGACCTCGTCCTCGGCCGCCAGAATGCTCATGGCCACGACGATGAAGCCCTCAATGCAGTTGTCAATGTGGCCCCGGAGGCACAGCATCATGGCTTCGGCAAGCTTGCAGGCGCTGACTCTCTCCAGACCCTGGGCTTGGGTGGTGAACATGTCGGTGATCATGGAATACAGAGCCTGGACATATTCGGGCTTCTGCACCAGCTGGGGCGCACCGTATTGGACGATGTTGTCGAGGGCCGGGAGCATGTCCTCGAGGTAATACTCAGCACCTGCCTTAAAGGTGCTGTGAATCAACTCGAAGGCCTGCCACATGTTGGGCGAGATTCTCTTGGCCGCAAATGTGCAGCTGTCGATGATCTCAAACACCTCGTTGTACAGATCTGTCCCACATTAGCACCATTTCAATAACAGCAACCACAACCACCGCAGCAAATTCAAGCTGGCGTGCAGGGAAAAGAGACAAATTTACCGTATAGCTTGTTTTCCAACGTAATCTTAATGACGGGCATGAGAACCTGCTCAATGTGGAGCAGCACGTCCGGAGTGCTCTCCAAGGTCAGAATCAGAGTACCAATGGTCTGCAACACACCGAGGGCGGTGATACTCTTGTCATCGTACTCGCTGAATGCCTCGCCGTCGTCGTTGCCCTTCTCCTTCTCGAGAACCTCGTTGACAATGCGCAGGTACGTGTCGCGGAGCTGCTCAGAGAGAGCAACGGCGTAGGGCGTCAGCTCGGTCGAGAAGACCTCCACGAAGTCCTCCATCACGTTGGCGAGGGCGTCGACGTCGGCTTCGTTGGCCAGCTTGAGGAGCTGCTGCATGATGGTGGGGATGCTCGTCTGCATGGTGTTGCGGACCGCGTCGTGGCGGATCAGCGGCTGGAGGGCGAGGGCGGCCGTGATCCGTACGGGCAGGGACTCGTCTGCCATGCAGTCGAGGATGTGGCGGTAGATGGTCATCAGGTTGTTCTGGTCCTGGAAATCAAGCTGCTCAAACTTCTCGACCGTATCGCAAGCTCGGGCTCGGAGATATCCTTGGCTGCTCTTGAACTCGGGGATGACGTAGCGGACGATAAAGTATTCCACCTGGCCCGCGATGGGGCTCTTCTTCCCGAGGATGACGGGAGCGAGCGTACCAATCATCCTCAGGGCGCCCTCCTTGGCCACGTGGTTCTTCTTGTCATCCGGGGCCTGCTCATACTCGTTGACAATGTCGTTGACAAACTTGAGGATTGAGAAGGTCTCGAAGCGGCGGTGCTTTGTCAGGTTGACGAGGAAGTTGACACCGGCGATATCGGGCGAGGAACCGTCTTCGAAGTAGTTGAGCTTGCGGTGGAGGTACTCCTCGGGCTCCTCCTCGAACTGCTCGAGGTCTTCATCGGTGAGACATAGAATGGGGAAGACGAAGTGGGTGACGAGGTTGGTGAGATGGGGTTTCAGGTGCGTCCACATCTCCTTGGGTCGGACTGACTCATCCAGGAAGACCAGAGTATATGTAAGGCAGGGTCGGCTCAGCCATGACGTCTTGGAAACCCACTTCTCAATCTCCTGCAGGTAGTGCTTCAGGATCTCGGGTGCGATGTTGGCAATAAAGTTCTTCGCGAATCGGGCGCCGACGTCGCCGTCTCCCGGCGTTGTTGGGTTTCCTTGCCTGGGATGGAAGTCAGCTACCACGAGGTCTCAGATGGGATCGGCAAACCCCCTTCACACAAAAAAAAAGCCGAGGAAAAAACAGGGTCAAGGACAGTACCTGATGAAGAGACGGTTTAGGTTGTAGTATGCCCACTTCTTGGCCTTCCACCAATGGTTCCTCTCGCGGTCGACACTATCACCTGCCATGGCGCTGTTCGGTGGCGTTTTGGAGACTGTTTGGAGCAGGACGGTACACCAGCCGATGTTGACCTGCTCCTGGCGGAGATGGGGGGTCAGTTCCAACTGCAAGCCTCACAGGTTAGCAAAACAAAACGGCGGGAGACCAAAATTCCGGCAGCGAGATCTCTTACGTATGTGGCATGCTTGTACGTCTTGAGGGCGAGGTGCAGCATCTGGCCCGCCTCGTCGCTCTCCTGGGTCACCAGCTCGTTGCAGATGGCCAGCAGCCGGGGGAAGCTGGCCTCGATGATCTTGCCAAAGTGCTGCCTGTCCTGGCTCTGGACCGACTTGTAGCGGAATGCGCGGCAGATGGCCAGCAGGCACTGCACGCCGGCGAGGACGGAGGTGGGGGTGTTGGTGTTGAGGAGCTCCATGGTGAAGTCCATGAAGCGAGGCCACCGGCTGGGGAAGTCGAACTGTAGGATTCGTTGCAGGACGGGGATGAGCTGCTGGCGGACGAGGGGCTCGGACGATGCCAGGAGGGGCACGACGCGATCGCGCACGCGGGACTTTTCTTCTTCGTTTATCGGAACCACATTGTCGGGGAGTTTGTGGTCGGGAGCGTACCAGGCTCGGTTGACTCGGTTCTTGATATAGATGACGGCTGGGGGACGGGATATCGTTAACGCAACTTGATTCTGGGCACCTCGGCGAGGCCACGGCGGTGGGTTACATACTTGAGAGACGGATGCTCGCCTCCTGCTCCGACTCGAGGATGCCGAAGAGGCAGTCGAGGAAGCCCGTCTGGTCCTCAATCTGCGGCGGCACAAGACGTTAGCGACGCTCAACAGGGGCTGGGGAGGCAAGGCATGGCTCGGGGAGGGCTGTCGGAGGTCGGCCCTGCCGCCGGATGAAGTCATTGGATGGACGAGACAGTTCCGGAGGTGGACAACGCGGCCAGGCTGATCGGAGAAGGGGGGTTCAGAAAGAGCGTACCTGCTTCAGCTGGAGCTCAGCGCGACGCCTGTTGTCGGCATCAGAGTCCAAGCTTGCAACAAGCAAGGCCCTGACGGCGACTGGATCCATGACGAATGCGCTGTTTGGAGGGAATCAATCTGGTCCTGTTGGGCCGTGTTGGCGGCGGTGATAGGAACAAAATGAATGAGTGATCAGGTAGGGAGGGCTGGATAGTGATGGCGGGGCATTGGGGGACAAACAACTGGGGACTAAAAAAAAATGGTAGGAGGATGGATCGACGCTCACTGGCTGGTTTGCCAGGCCCTAGTCAGTCAACCCAAACAAGCAAAAGCAGCAGAGGCGCCCGTCAACAGATAGAAAAATAAATAAACCGAAGCTGGCATCTGGTCATGGCCGGCCTAGCAGAACGGTCGATGCCGAATGGATGGATAGACGGATGCGAAATACTGACCGACAGCCATCAGCGAGATGGGCCCGGTGTTGGCTGTCTCGAGGCCTGAATCTCACCGCAGGCGACGGAGCACACGCAGCACCAATCCAATCGACCGCACACACACACTTACCGAAACTCGCACATAATCTTTTGCTGCTAACCTGGACTGACGTCTGTTTTGGTGGGCCTGGTTTCTGACTGCCGCCATAGGCTACGGGCTCGCCGCTGTAGCTTGCACCTGTAGCGAGCCCAACACCGCTGTACAGGGCACGCCGGAGCTGGCCCAGCATTATCAGTACCAGTTCCCCAAGTATACCGAAACATTAATTACGTGAAGAGTTACATATTCAAATGTACCTGGCTCTCACAACGTGGTTCTTCCCGTTCACATTCACGTCAATTCACAGTGGCAGCCTGCACGCACTAAAAAACGCAACAGAACAGGCTTCCATCCCTGCCCAGTTCCAGAGCAACCAGCTCTCTCGCACAGCAATCCAGCCCGTTCAGAAACCCGGCCAGTCAATCAGTGCAGCTAAGTAAACAAGGACAATTCCAACGCAAGGGGCGAGAAAGGAGCAGATTGGCAAGGCAAGCTAGCCATTTAGCTAGCACGCACCCAGCCGTCCATGGCTGGCACATGATGATCACAGCATAGCGCTGGGAGGTGACCGCCTTTATGCATATTGGCACGACAGCCCGTCCATCAGCCTGCTCCCCCCATCATCCCGCCAATGCTCCCATCTCCATCTCCTCAAAGCAAATCCGTGCGAGCAGCAGTCATCCAGCGACACCCATGTGAGCGCGCGACCGCCACCTGGCGTGCAATGTGCCACGGAACCAACCCCGCGATAGCCTCCCATACAAAGAGGACCGTGCATTGATTTGTTGGGAGAGGAGAGGAGGGCTTTCGGTGCCCACCCAAACAGCGCCCAAAGGAGCAAGGGGGCTTCCCTGCAGAGCCCTAACAGCATTAATTGCCCATCCCAATCCTGGTTCGCTGAATCCCATTCATTACTAATCACGCCTATTCCCGGTTTGCCGGCTGGTGCGTTTTGCTGGGGTGACATAATAACATGAGACACCAAACTACCTAGTACCTCAAGCGTCCATAACGAAGAAGCTTTTTACCCGCCATGTTGACAGCCTGAACTCAAATAAATAAAATCAGAAAAATACCGGTACACAATCCAAAGGCTAAAGAAGATTTTGTTTCTTTTTCCTTCTGAATTATGAGCATTTTTGACCGTAGTATATGGGCTGAATAGAAAACCGAAGAATCTGGTGTCTCATCTGTTCTGTCACCCACTCGACGACCACCAACAACTGCAGCGAGCGACGGAGGAAATTGCACGGCAGCACCTGTCCGTTCCGTGGGGGTTGAAGTCATAGTGGGGAAGCCAGTGAAGGAGATACCACCCCATGATATCGTCTCTGTCGCCTGCCGAGAGCCCGGACCATTCAGTCCAGACAGAGTATCTATATTGACAGCAAACAGCCAGATCTTCTTGACAGCACCTAGTTCCAGTAATTAACCACTCCCATCCACGTCTGATACTTGTTGCCTTGCAGGCGACCAAAAGGGACCCATCACCCAGCGCCAAGATGCCATATCCTTGGCCCGTATGCACCAGCACCAACGGCAGTGCGACCTGACTGCTGCAATGCAGAGTAGCATCCTACAGTATCGCGCCCGGTGGTCGGCCAGCCCTCCAACACGCACGCCCACATGCAGACCGGTTCGGGAGGGCAGCCACTCATCTCAGCTAGGAGAAATCCCCGGCGCCGCTGTTGCGGGAACCTCGCAATCCCACGTTTTGGGCAGTCAGACAATCACTCGGTACGTAGACATGTATGCATGGTGTCATCATAAAAAATCCAGCGATGTACCCATCGCGGTTTGGCATTGATCATTAGGCATCAGACATTTCCTCTCATGCCCCTTGTTCTAATCAACAGCTTCGTTCCTTGAAGCCCACTCTCATACACTGAAAAGAGCCAGCCAGCCATTATTCATAGACCATCCATTCTGGAAGGAGAAAAAAGTGACAAACAATAGAAAAAAAGGACAATATAAAGAATAAAAAAATAAAAGACCCGAGAAAACCCACAAAATTTGTAAAAAACGGAAAGCAATTTCATGCCCCCAGCCTGCTACTCCAATACCGGCCCATACCCAAAAATGCTCAGAACATGACCAACGCCTCCCATTTCTTGGATGCGCACTCCTTGCCCGCCATGCAAATCGTTCAAACGTAATCAAATGTCCAGGCCCCTGCCTCAAAATGGTAGGTCCGAGGTTCGGATCCAAGATGGGAATAGTGATGCGTGCTTGAAGCTGCCTGCATGTCGCGTCGCGTGTTCCCAATTAAATGCAGACAGTCCAGAGGACCAAGATGCCGACGCACAACACGCGTTTGTCCTCGTTCAAAATAAAATACAAAGAGACAAAGGTCGGGTTGTGCGAAAATTCCGTGCGCGTTACCAAAAGTTGTGCCACGCTTGATGGGAGACAGCCAACAAGTCCTGGGAGAATCAGATGCATTTCCTGGACAGTGGCTGAATTGTCACCCAGATTAATTTGGACACTCTCGGAACACGAAACACGCCAGCTGAGGTGGCTTGAGGGCGAGTGCGAAAAGCTATGCAGCTTACGCATTGCCGATTCTTGTCGGGGTGCCAGCCCCTTGTGCCACCATGCAACACAAGTTGTCGCAGGATGTGTAAAAAAAAAACGATGCGACTTCCCGACACCTCCTGGACCAAGATCCATGTGGAGGCAGGCACGGTGCCAGAGGTTTATCCTCAACAGCAACCAGAAAGATCAATTCCGGAGAGGAAGAGATACAAGACAAGCGCCGAGACTCAATGATAGAGCGAGGATAGAAAACAAGTGTGGGTGTTCCTGAGATAATTGTCTCATATATACAAACCCGAAATTGACTTACCTTGCTGCCCGGACTCACCATCTCTCATTCAAGATGTGAGGTCATTAATAGAACCCTCCTTCAACAATGAAGAAGGTGATCCGAAGTGCGCTAGGTGATGGCTGGACCTGGTCAACGATGAGCTGGAAAGCGGCACTGGGAATCCGGGCAACAAGGGTTTGAAGACCAATCCAGGGAAGGGAGAAATCGAGCAATGGCTCAGTGGTGCCAGGGGGTTTGTGCTCATCAAGAAACGCCAGAGAAATTTTTGTCAAGGCACTTAAGCCAGGATCCAGGGCCTTGAGGTAAGGTATGCCAATCCGAGACGGGGAATAATCGATCTTCTCCTGGAATGGGGCACACATTCGACAAGTTGATGATCCTTGGGTCCTGGCCAGAGAAATATATAATCATTTGGTAAGGGAGGGATCTTTTCTTCATACTTCGTGCAGTCTGCGATGTTGTTCATCTCAGGTCTTTATTTCAAGACGCAACCTCAAGGGGCTTCAAGCCCACAATTAAAAGAAAGAAAATGCTGCAAACTCCAGGAATGGGTTGTGTCGATCCATGGTCCGGTGGAATTGGGTCAAAAATGATAACAAAGTACAGAACGCCGGTCCTTGAAAGGGTGAAACTCCGCTGGGATCCAGGTTATTACGCCACAGGGGAGAAAAGCAGAAAACAACAAGTAGCTATGCTGGCTTGGAACTTGGGACCCTGTCCTGCGTGGCAGGCCGGTTGATAGCCAATATCATGCAAGATTACCGACGAGGTTGCCGGTGGTGGCGGTCAGATGAAGTGTGCCTGTCGTCATCTCGGTCACTACGACGCTTGGAGGAGCTGTTTGATGGAGTGGGTGCGGAAGGGGGAGCCACAGAGGCACGACCACTTGAGACTTCTGCATACTGTCCTTGGGAATATCCTGCGGGGGGGACCTGGGTTGCTGGTGACACTAAAAAATCAGATAAAACCCTTTTGGAGAGGGGGTTGTAAGGTTATGCTGGTGCTATACTCACCTCGACTGAAGGATGAGTCGGGAGCCTGCATACTCGAGTACGACGGCCCGTTGGTAGTAGGCACCTGCGACTGATAATTGTAAGGAGCAGATTGATATCCCGGCTGCATTGGGGGAGCTGTGACATAGGTAGGCTGGGGCGGGGCACCGGTCCGGTTGAGGTTGGCGCCCGTGTGGATGTAAGCGCGGTCATCGAACCCGTCCATGGGAGGCTGGCCACCCTGCGAGTACGATCCCGAATACCTTGGGTCTGGCGGAGGGGACTGCCCGTAGCCGTAAGCACCGCCGGGACCTCCATAGCCAGGTTGTGAGTATGAGGGGGACGCTCCAGTGTAGCCAGGAGCGCCAGTTCCGGGGTATCTAGGCCCGTCGTGGCCATAGGCATCCGGTGGATAGTGACCTTCGGTTGGACCACGGTTCTGGCGAGACTGGTGCGTCTCGGACATACGATATTGGCCTAAAGGTGAGTTAGACGATGATCTGCCAGGATAGCCGACGACAAAGCTACCTCCTGGGGTATTGCGGGACGTCTGCGCACGCCTCTCGGCGTCCCAGCGCGCAGAGTCGGCTTTGAGATCCTCAATCATTGCCTGGGAACAGATTTAGTACGGGTTCAAGAACGGTCGGGAGCAAAGGTTTCGTGGGCCGGGGGGGCGTGCTCACCGTCGTCAGGTTTCGATAGCCAGTGATGTAGTAGCCTTGCACGACTTGGCCAGTCTGGGGGTTCTACAGGCGGTCAAAGGTCAGTATTGGATGAACGGTGCGCGCGATCGGATTGGCATGCAAAGGGCAGCTGCAGGTGGCCCTGGTATGTGCGACCAGCGCTGGAGCAGCAACGGCCCAATCTGACGCCGCGACGAAGTCGAGACGCACCTCATACTGGCCAGGCCGTACCAGGGCATCGTTACCCAGGTAGCGGCAGATGTCGGCCGAGATGACTTCGCGGTCGATGCCATCGCGGGGGACGAAGTATTCGTTTTGACGGGAAGTTGAAGGCGCGGAGGCGCCCTGGCCGCGGGGTTGTCTAGACATTTTCCTCGAAAAAAGGGCGAAGAGCACGGATGGGAGATGAGGGGGGGAGGAAAGATGGGAGGATGGGAGAGAAGATGATAGATGAGAGAAGATTTTACCGTGTGCAAGAACGGAATAAAGAGGAGAAAAAGAGGAAGGGAGAGAGGGGGGAGAGGAGAAGAAGAAGACTACGGATGGGAGAGTCAGAGTAAAGGTGGGAAGAAGTAACCTGGCGGCGACAGGGGAGGCAGGAGGGGAGCCAGACTGCAGAAAAATCGACCGGGCAGGCACCAGTGGTGTGTGGTGGGTGTGTGGCGGGCTGGGCAAGAATAGCGGAGTGGGAGCATAATACATCCATCCAACAGAATCGAATCAAAGGCAGCCAAGCCAGAAAAGCAGGCCAGAATCGAATGGATTCCTGGTCCTGGAGCCCTACTCCCGACCAAAGAAGCGGTCCCGGCAGGGGGGGGTTGGATTGAAGCCAACGAAGACGGGACAGCCCCTTCTATTCCCTCAACGGTCCAGTCAGTGGCCAGGACGCCTGGAGCTAGGCGCTGGATGGCGGGTTGAGGGAAGACGTCGAGATCTCAATGGAGCCAGAATGTGAACAGCGCAGCCGACGGGAGTGGATTGGGAGGGGTGGGGCGCGTCTGCCTCTGTAACTCGTAACGACACACGGGTGGCCTGCAGCGCGCACAGAACATTGAGAGCAAGGAAGGACCCTGAGGTACGGTGCATGTACCGATAAGGTGCACTGGGCGGCACCGGGGAACCTGCTGAGTACAGGCGGAGCTGGCAGCGACGTTGCAGGCGCGGGCGGTGGGGCTGGGCGCTGCAGCCAATCCCGAGCAGGCGAGTGCTGGCAGGCGCTCCACCCGGCAGCGCTCACTGGCTGAGGCTGCTGAGGCCTAGTGCGGCGACCAGGTCGTTGGGCAGCGTTGGCACAGATCAGGCAAGCCATGAGGTCAGGCAGTTGGGCTGCAGCGCAGTAGCACGCGCACAGTATTGGCCGGACAAGACCGACTCGTCAGTGTCATCAATCCATTCGGCTGACCCTGGGAGGAGCGCTTGCAGCCAGGCCTGCCTGTGGGCGGTGCCGTGCGACCAGCAGGTTTCTGACAGCCCACGACGAGGCAGATCCTGCCAGCACACCGCAGCAACGCACAGCGCCATGCGTCTGCACCGCACCGCACCGCTCCCTGCCACCGCCCTCACGTCCCGCCTCTCCCTGCGACTGGTCCGCGGGGTTCGTTGGGGACGGAGTCGTCCCCGGCGCGCTGGCCAATCTCGCAGTGACAGGATGTGACAGCCATCCGGACGTGCGTTCGGCCCGGCACAGTCGCTCGCCTCGACTACGTGGACGACGGCCATTGACGAGCCAGGTAGACGCCCGGGTCAGTGATCAGCAAAAACACACATGAATGTATGCACAATAAGGATGGTAGGTACTACTCGATGATGCAGGGGAGTTTCGTGTAGTTTCGCCTCGCTTCTTCGCGTCGTCTCCCGTCCCATCCCATCCCATCCCCATCCCAGCGCTTTCCATATCTGTGCCGAGCCCAAATGACCAGTCAAACTCTCGACACTGTGAAGGACATGAATCATATCATTGTGCCATATATGTGAAAAATTGGAAGGAGACCGTGAATCTCCACCAGATGCGCTAGGGCCAGCCGGACCACACTGAATAAACAACGGTCAGTGCCGTGGTTCTTGGCTCGAGCAAGACTTGGGCACCAGTTTGCTTTCTTCCCAGCTGATTGACGATCACCAACAAGGTTACCCTTTCTTCCATCGTGAGTGGCGACCCACATGCATCTTCAAACGGTTTCTGGCCTGTGTCTTCTCACCACATGTCATTTTGTGAGCGCTCTCCCTACCGTGTGTGCGCCGACCTGCCACCCATCATACACGGTCCTGCCACATCTCGCCTTCGGACAGTGACACTGGGGCACCGAAGCGCCCGGTTGGAATCCTCGTCCTCCTGGTCAGCATGAAAAAAACGACACTTGGGTAAGCATGGACAACGCATTCACCAGTCTGGGGATAAGATAGGCGGCGGGAATGGAACGTGGTGGATCGATATATTAGGTCAGCTACAGGATAATGCCAGTGGCTGGCACACGAGAGCAAGCTCATCACGTTGAGGATGTATTGTCACGGCGGAAGGAGATGACCGAGCGGGCGTTTTGGCTCGAATGCCATTCGACGACGAGATAGTCGTGTGTGATTCATTGTGGCCGAGTGTTTTAAAAGTGAAGTGAGGGATGGCAGAGGCCAGCTCGCGCTCGCCAGTAGGTGCGCGGTGACGTGGCTCCATTGCCTCCATGTGTCCCTCAGCGTATGATATCAACTCTTGGGGATATGTCCGCGGCGCCATGCCCGCTCGAAGGAGTTGGGTATCAATGCCGCCGTCATGAGGTTGGTGTGTGTGTGTGTGTGGATGGAGTACGTACCTCGATAACTCACCAAAGCGGAACCAACCAACCTCCCAACCAACCCCCAGCTCTGTCCCTCTGCTCCGAAAAGGCATTATACATATCCCGAAATCAATATTGGCATCCTATTGTCACCCTGGGTTCTTGACATTGCGATAGGCCCTGTATCCACTAAATCTTGCCCGCCATCGCAAAGTGAATCGGTGAGAGTTGACAGCCATGACGACCTGTGATGGCCTGTCTGAAACCCAGTCGGGGGATCCATGGCTTCGACCGCGCACAAGCGCGCACCATATTATGCCTCATGTAACCATCGACTCAAGATGCCGAGGAATCGCCCACGGTTTGTGCCATTACTGGTGGAACTGGCACGACCTGGTGTGGAGTACTGGATGACATTGTGCGCTTCAAATCAGCGGATCATGTCTCAGGCAATCGTGAGAGGAGGCGGCATCCTCTCCGGGGAAATCCCTCCAGCAAATGTCGGAACCCCGCCATGCTTCTGCCTTCTACTGCCCTTCTCACCGCTGCCGTACCTCCTTTGGGTGGAGAGCGAGACGACGGCGGTTACCAACCTGGTGCTAAACTCCACCGGTGACCTGGCCCTGCATCTTCCGGGCAGAACTGTTCAGATGGATTCAAAGCGATGGAAAGTTGAGAAGTGACCCGGCGTAAGAGGAGTAACTTTCGCACCACCTCCGGGCCTATCATTCCCCCGGTTCCCCTTCGCTGCGCATCGCCGCGCCGTAATATCAACGGCGTTGGGCCCCCTTGGTGATGACCGCTCAGCCAAACTGCAGGCGCTTCTGTCCTGGCTCGAGCTTCCCCTTTGGCCGCTGCCTGCCTGGCCCGTCTGAGCTGTTCGGGGTTGAGCTACGTGAAGTCGCCGGCCGACTGGCGAATACAGGAGCGACACGTTCTTGATCCTGCAGGTCTTTGGCCATGTGCCAGTCCTGGTGAGTCTGCAGCTCCTCCACATCGCCAAAGCGCCTGCTACACCGTGAGCAAGAGACTCCTGCAGCCAGGGCTTGCTCGTCACCCGTGTCATCCTTCGGGATACCCTCGCTGGACGAGCTTGCGTCCGACGCTCCCGCGTGATTGGCCTCTGATGTGCGGGATGCAGGCTCGTCACCACCCTTTATACTGTCGCCAGGTGGCCGCTTCGTGAAGAAACGCGCAATACCTGCCTTTTCAACCCGAGGTCTCTTGGATGGCCGGTCGGGCTCGGCTGCAGTTGGAGTTGCAGCTGCAGTCGGGGGAGGGTGGTTGACGGACGCAGCAGCATTCAAAGCTTCGGCCTCTTCACCCCTGACGAGAAACGCACCGATGCCCATGTTACCCTTCACGTTCTCCTCGAACCCGCCCACGCTCAAACTCAGATTGGCGCATGGCCATACCCTGTGCTCGGAGATGATCTGATCAAGAAGGTTCTTCGCCAGGTTGAGCACGAGGTCTTGGTCTATTGCACTGCCGGGGGGGATTGGAGCCTGGCGAGAATACGTCTGGCCTGCATGGCGATGATGTAGGTTGATCGATTTTGGGCGGCGCTTATGCTCCAACACTCCTTCCTCTACGAGTCGGGCAAAGATGTCGGCCGCAAAGATCCGTAGCCATTTCAGGGCCTGGTCAACCGTGTTGATGCTGGGGCGGAAGGATTTGGCGGACAGCATAGACTTGATCTGCATCCTTGAGTTCACTTCGCTCGTGTCCACCCCTCTGATCGTATTGTATATCCATGTGCCCGTCTCGTGACCAAGCTTCTGTCTCATTGTGTCAAAGGGGACCTCCAAAAGTTCCGCGATGCTTTCAGTGTTGAATGTGGACACCACGTTGTCCCCCATCTTGCCGCCCAAGTTTCGCATCTTGGTGATTTTCATGTCTCGTAGGAACGCGGGGATCGCTCGCCCTCGCACGACGGTCTGCCGGTTGGGCTTCTTGAAGGCGGAGCCCAACTTGCTCAAGAGCTTGTTGCATGCGACGCCTCCTGAACAGGTATAGCCGAGCTCCTCCCAGACACGAGCCCGCACACCGCGGATGATCTCTGACCCGATGAGAATGACCACGTCGTCCCAGTCTGGATCAATAGCCTCCTCGTCCTCATCCAGCCCCACGAGCGCGTCCTCTCCCCAATCCAGAGCTGACGTCGGCGGCATGGGCAATCTCTCCGTAGGGTCATCGTAAGGCGGCGGGCCGGAAAGCTCCGGGAAGCGTTTGAGGAGAATCGAGTGCACCTGCGCCGACAAATCCATGAACACCTCGTCGATACTGGCTTTCTCGACCCGTCTTTGGTCGGGAGGCAGCGTAGCATTGATAGTAGACAGAATCTTGCGCGACTCCAGCCGGTAAGGGTCAAGAGACACCTTGTCGCTGGCAATATTGGCGGCCGCGTCGTCACGGTAGGCCCATTTGTCGTCGCCCTCTCTCCAAGTAGCGACATGCTGCGCGATCAAGTTGGGGCACAGCTTCTTCGCCTCCGTAACCTGGCAGTGACGATTGATCCCCGCCTCCCGGGCAGCGTAGTTGACCGCAATCAGCCCTTGCCTTCGATTGATGACGACCTGTCAGCACCTCTCGTGCGCTGGA